CTTCAGATGGGTGTTCATCTCACCAGCGTGCCAGGATTTGGCAGATCTGAAGGTTAGCAGGCCATCGTGCATGACAACGAATCTCTGCGGCTTGCTGGGTACTGCCGGCTTGATCGTTGGCGGAGCACCTCCAAATGCAATCGTGGATGCCATGGTCGTGACCGTTCGGATCCCGTGAATCGAGACAGCCACAAGGGCATCGGCTGGGCTCCAAATAAGCGCGCCAATGATATCCGTCGTATTTTCTTCATCGTATACGATACCCTTGATATTCTTGGCGGACGTGTAGCCGAAGTTGCCGAGCAGAGCACCGTATGCTTTTCGGTAGTGCCTGCACCATGCCTCCCACTCTTTGGAAGGTCCCCCGGCTATTGTCTCGAGCTTTGTAGGCTTGGGCAAGCCTTGGCTGCCTTCCTCACCCAGCATGGGTGCACGCGACTGAAAGAAAGGAGCCAGCTCGATTCGGTAGCTAGAGGACTGGAGCTCGGATAGCAATGCATACCTTCCACCGACAGTGGCTTGCTCACTCGTCCCGTACGAGTCGGGCATCCAGTGATTGCGTCGAAGCACTACCGGGTTGACGGTGATTCGCTCCGTTGCCTCACCACCACTCGCCGCAGCATGATCATCGGCCGCGGTCGCCACAGGCTGCTCCGTCTCGGTAGATGCAGCCTGTTGGGTAGTGTTGCCCCCCTGAATCGTTAGGTCGGCAAACTCAACATTGTCGCGCGCGACACTGTCTCCCAGCAGCTTCAGAATGCGAGGATCGATCGGGCTCGCCTCCATCCACGGGTGCCAGGCCACGGCTTTCGTCCCATCGGCACTGAGGAATCGGTGTCCGTGGATGACGTAGTTTGGGGAAGTAGAAACCCCTTGCTCGCGGTCATCCAAGAGGCGGAAGGGCCTGAACGCGATTCCGCACAGCTCGAGAAATCGAGTTCCTACGCGGATCTGTTTCTGGGATCCCCCCAGCTTCTTTGTCGTGCGACTGTGGCTGTTCACCATAGTTCGGGAGACGCAGATCATCACCTGGAACCAGTAGCCTCCGCCGAGATACGTGCCAGATGCATAGCTACCGGCAGCCTCGGGGGCGTGTCCAGTCACCCAGACGCAGGGTTCGTGACTTCCATGATCATCCGTCACATAATCCTCTCCGAACAAGCCTCCGTGAGCAAGAATCGACCAGAGGTATCGGAGATTCGTTCCGTGGAGGTACGTCTCCTGAGGATCGTATATGTCCGAATTCATCGCTGGGACATACACCCACCCGTCAGTCGGGCGGATGGTGATCTGTGACGCACCGTCCTCGTAGGTCATTTGGGTGCTGGCTCCCCAATTGAGCGTATCATCGATGCTGACGCATCGCCCGGGGTAGGCCTCAGCCATCGTGTTCATGAACGAGGCCCACCCGCGCATCAGCGGGTTATTCTCATCGTCGTCTTCGTTGCGAAAGGCGGCCACTTCACCAATCTCGTTCGCATCCACGGCAGGTAGATCGTAGCCGTGTTCCTTGCGATCATTCTCGAGGTGACTCGCTTGCTCTTTCAGAGAATTCAGCGTGGGAAATCGGTTAAGGGCCTTGATTGCCAGAAACGCCCCAGGGATGAAAGAAAGTGTCGGCCTGAGCTGCAGAAATCCCTTGAAGAACCTCGCGGCTTCAGCCGGGTTGACCACATCCCTTGACAACTCAATGGGCGACAGCTTGGTGAGGTCGTTGTGCTTGATACTCGTATCGGTCCTCAACCATCGCTGTTCCGCAGACGAACTGCTGTATCCCATGAGATTTCGATTCCAACTCGCAAGAGGCGACGGAATGTAACAGGTTCCCATGAGACGGAGCGTATCGTTGCTCAGTGTCTCTCGAGACCCCTTAAAGGTTTGCGCTTGGAAGTGCATACAGTGGCGAGCCAATGCCATCGTAAGGTCCATTTTCTCGCGGACCCCTGCGGCGTCACCGGACAACGTTGCCACTCGGGAAAATGCAACAGCGCACATCACCCTGTATCGATCGACGAAGTCCATAAACTCTCGGGGATACTGCTTCCTCTGCTTATCCGCAAGCGGATGATTAGAGAGGAGGAAGGAGTCAACTAGCTGATGCAGCTTTAGGTCGAAACCAGAGTTGCATGCCAGCTGTTCGAGGCGCTGCCAGATTGAGGCCTGTGGGATCTCTTGGACCCCGATCTTCAGCATCATTGCTTTCATCCTCAATCCTATCGGAACGTCCTCGGAGCGCTTCCCACCCCCAGTAGACTCATCTCTCGGGGTCTGAATCGGGACTGGGGCTTCATCGGCGCCCATGTTGGCGTCATCCTGCTCCGTAGGGATCGGCGGAGCAGGAGGCCTTTCCGTAGTTGGCGCAATCGGGCCGCTCGGAAGGCCTTCCCCGCAAGGCGAGGGAGATTTCGGCTGAGGTGATCGGGCAGCCGGTGTCTTGGCGGCAGCCTTCTTCGGTGGCTGCTTGTTCTTTCCCCCCATCGTTCAGCAGCGGCGGCAGCGCGGAGAAGTTCGCAGCCCGTGGCAGCTACAACCTGTCCTAGCAGGGAGCGCAAGTGGGCTATGGACTGAGTCGTAGTAGAGGTGGTCTGTGATGGTCGGTTGATGAAGGTGATCCATGATCGTTGCCCTTAGAGCTCCTTACCAAGCTATAGTCAAGTGTGAGTGTGTAAGTATGTGCATGGCCTTGGCGTCTTTGTTTAAGCAATCGGCAACGCGGATTGCTGTGAGCCAAAAACCGCAGAATTGATGAAATGTTCTAGCACAGCCCACAATGCAAATCGAAGCTCTTTCGGGTCGACCCTTTTGGCCTTCTTGTGATTGCACGCAAATCGTGACATGAAGATGGGCCCAAACCGGGCGGGCATGAAAATCTCGCACATCCACGCATGCTGAGAACATCGACCAGAGGAGCACGAACACAGCTTAACTGGGCAAAGCTCGTGCGATTCAGACCATCGTCTTATGTACTCCCTACCCCACAATGGGTTTCCCTTCGGTAGCACAAGGAATACAGGGATTCCAGATGACCGGGCAGCGGAAGCGTACCCGAGTAATTTCTTGGCTTCCCATCCTTTTTCTTTGAGGTCGCCCCTCATTTCTTTCCACCCCCTGCTCTTGAAACCGGCTTCTCTTTTGTTAGCGGTGCCAGCAATCGGAACAGTAACAATACATACCGCAGGCGTAGGCGGAACCCTGATGTTCGAAATAGCAATCCCCTTTGCATTATCGTCGAGACTGAGATTGATACTTCGAGCATGAGGGAATCGGATTATGCCTTCGCCTCCGATATGAATACATTTTATGGCTGCTCCGAATTGGTGAGCATCATCAATTGAAATACCCCCCTGACGAGACATTTCGAGGATGAAATCGTTGAAGGGACTGTGACCAGTTTCAAGATGTACCCCCCTGGTTGGACAGACAGAGGGGAGAGCAGAGAGAGCGGGAGCGGCAGACAGCATACCAGAGGAAATAAGAGTACCTTTGCGAAAATGACCAATAGACATAAGGTTGCGACCCCACACTTTGGCATCAGTGCAGGCCTTGGTCAGGATATCACCAGCCTCAAACTGAGAGGGACACGTCACAAATAGAAAGTCACCAGCGTGGTAGCGTTCATTCAACGCAGAAATATCGATACGCTGGGTACGAGACATATGACGCATATTAGGATTGTGACCAGTGATAATGACTCGGATGGCAGCTTCATTGTCTTCCATGACACGCAAACGGAAGCGACGGCCCAACATATACTCCCACATGGAGAGAGCGGGCAATCCCAGTTTATAGACGGCGTGATCAAGGGAGACAATTTCGGCTTCGGGAGTAGACTTTGACACAGAAGTCTGCTTCTTGGACAGCGCATTAAGAGGCATAAAGCTACGCGGGCCAAGAAGACACATGAAGACACCAGACGTGCTCTTGGAATCAGTGCGGTCGCCCGCAAGATCAGCATCGCAATAGAGCACAAGCTCTAACATCTCGGGCGCATCACCAATCCAACCATATAAATTGAGATCGAGGGTGGAATTGATATAACACACCAAACGATGGAGCTTCTTGTCACACAAACCATCCCACTTGGTGATGAGACTAGCAAGTGCCTGCACAGGACGGATGAGATCGTATCGCCCCATGCGAGCACCATACAAGATTTTCATCAGGACAGCGGCAGCGCAGTCACCGAGAACGCCCTTACCAGGAGGTATAGGCGTATCGGTGGGATGGCCCAACAAGCGGTTCACCTCGGGACGATCCGGATTAGTATCGAACTCCGGTCGTGACTCATCGAGAAACGGCGTGTCAGCCGACCGCAAGGTGGCTTTGTATTTCGGACCACAGAGCTCAACATAGCGAGAGACACATTGCTCCATGAACGATCGCATATCGTACTTGATCATTCGGATTTCGCGAGGACCGACAGAGCCCTGAGCGACAGTAGTGTCACGATCGCCAAAAGTGAGCTCGGGAAATGCCTTCTTGGGTTCCTCGAAACGCGTCCAATAGGAGCGCGGATCAAAAGAATTAGGAACAACATGAGAGAAAGTAACATGCTCACAACCCAAATAACGTTTGATGCTCGAGGGCGGCTCCAACTTAATCTTTGATGCCATGAGCTCCCACCCTGTGGCCAGATTGGCCTTTGGTCCACTGAGCTTAAAATCATCGACGTAGACCACAAGCATAAGGTTAAGCTTGGGATGGCGAAACACGCTCTTCCAGTCAGGGCATTGCTCGAAGCCAACAGAGCGGAGAGCCTTTTCGCAATGCTGTTCCCAGAACCCACCGGCATCCGGGTGCCCGTAAAGGGCCAATACAAGACGCACAACCGGGTCATGATACTTCCCATGCCATTCGGGCAGCCATCGATCTTTGGGCAGTCGCACCCATGTGGCGGGGCCACCAAGCTTAGCTTGAGTGTAGGCGGACTCGCCGTCAGCAACTTGTATTTCGTGACCGGGCAAGAGACCGAAAGCATCAGCGGCCTTCCCTGCCTCCATGGTCGCGGGGCATGAAGTTATCTCGGAGAAAATCGCCCAATTGTTGCCTTCATCTTTGACATGACAGCCCTCAAACACGACACGACCCTTAAATTTTCGATTTGGATCGGATTCTGGAAGCTCGGAGTTCTTTTCCACGCATATATCGAAGATACGACCAACATGGGCCGTCTCTCCTTTCGCCATGGCCTCGTTAGATACATCGCGCCATTCACGCACGGAGGGGTAATCCCAGTAATCCCAGCAGCCCTGATTGATAAGTTTGTTCCACTCCTTATCAAGGGCGGCCTTGGCCTTGGGATTAGCGGCACGTTCTTTTCGATCAACAGGCCGTGCGACACACGCGCTGTAAAAGAACACCGAAGAGTCTGGAGAGCGATGCGAATGAGGATCGGAACGAATGGACATCGCAGGTGCTGCATCGGTATCCAGACAGTCGTTGGAGGGCTCGACCGGTGCAGAAGTACCATCCCCGGTATCCTCATCCGTGAAATCAAGTTCAACTGCGGCTAGCACGGAAGTATAAAACTGAACCACTGCCACATCCTGTCCTGGTTCGACAATAAGATCGGTGTCGGTAGGATTAAGGACGTCGACCCCGGATTGGGTGGCCCCTTCGTTGTACGTATACATGGCCGGACAAATATCGAGGCCACTACCGCGAAGCGGCTGAAGGCGGGCCGACATGCCGCTTGGGGGATCGAATTCAAGGTCGGTAACAACACAGGCGCGGGATTTAGCAGGGACTACAACACGTCCCTTCGCACGTAAGGCGTGGCCATAATAGCCGTTCGCCGTTTGCACTCGGCGCTCTGTTCCGTCGTTATTCGGCAGACTGGTTCGAACCTTGATCTGTGTTTTGGCAGAAGAACCGATAACGAAAACGGTCTTTCCTGTCCATCGACATGGCAGAGATCGCACATCGGATGATCTCCATGAATCCTGCAACGTAAATTCCGTGCCATCGGTCATGGCCATAGTCATCCTGACATCTGTCAAGGTCGCAGGATCGACAGGACAGTCCTTCACTGAGGTGGGATTAAAGCGCGCTCGGCGCTCGATCACATGAAATCGGGTGACCGTGCCAGCTGCGACATCGTGATACCAATAATCCTTATCATGCCGTTCAGCACCCGACTCATATTCGGAATCGAAAGCGATGTCGACAGGAGCGGCATCGCGAGAATCCTCTCGGGACATGGCGTGAGACTCAGCTTCTCGGCGCTCAGCCTCGACATACCCCTCCCGTTCGGCGCGATTCATGCTGCGCCAGGATTCGGAGTCGATAGAGTTCGGTTTTCGAGACCCTCTGTAGACACGCTCGGAGCGCGGCACACTCTGACGGTAAGGCAAACCCCCCTCGCCCTCCAGGATCTCCGACCCATGGTAAGGAGGTAACTTCTTCTTGGATGGGGCAAAGCCATCATCAAAGAATTCGACAGTGCCTGTCCAGAGTTGCATCAGTCTCGTCTTGCCGAAGGCATAGCCGGTTTCGTAGATCGTAACCGGGCTTTTATCCTTATACCGAACATGCGAAATACGCACTGCGCTCAGCTTCCACGGATCAGGCGACTCGCCAAGAGATCCGGGAGTCTTACTGGGATGAATCATCGCCTTTCTCGGGACGACTACGTGATAAGTCCACTTATGACTCGATGGATCATATTCCCAGTAATCGACACCTCCTCCATGAGAAGATTCGGCTCGTAACTCGGCCTCACGAGCCCGCCGAACATCTTCTTCGGTCATTCGGGTCGGCTCGTCGAGGGCAAATATTTCATCGATATCTTCGAGTTCGAGCATATCAGAGGCGTCAAGGCGCTCACTAGATTGAGGCGCACAGGATTGCATCGCAGGATCGTTGATGCACATTGATCGAGTCTGCTTGTCATACACAGCGAGCATCGGGAACGTCCATCGCTCCTTGGGTGAGCAGTATATCTTCTTGACTTGATGGACGCTCGCACGCAATGCATCGCGTTTGAAGTCTTCCAAATCGGCGACAATGTAGTCACCGTCCCACTTGCCCCCGTTCTCAAAATGATAACCCAGAAAAATACCAGGCTTACTCGTAGGGGAGAACTTACCGGGGCGTTGGTAAGACGACAAGCGTTGATCAACGTCGGCGCCCTGAAGAGTGCTAGATTGATCATTGTCTCCGTCATCAATCCACTCTAAATAACCATCGTCATCGAAACCAATTTCGACATCAATCAGTCCGTCGGCCCCAGGCGCAGGTACGGCGTACTCCTCACCATCGCCGAGGACAACTTCATCTCTCTGACTCCGCCGGGTCTGCTTTCGTGCCGGCGTAGGATAGAAGTCAACAAGGCAACCAAACGGCAGAATCTGACCGTCAAACTCAACACCATCAAATCGCATCGCATAGGCACTCTGACCCTCGCGCAACTCGATGTTGCGAGCATGGCAGAAGTGCTTGCATGCATAAGGCCAGAATTTGGCGCTCAATCCCGCTTGTCGTAGCGCCACACGTGCGCCATGAAGGACAAGCTTCACCTTGCTCTCGGCAATGGCATTAGTTCGAGGCATTCCCGGGGTGGAGTGCTTCACAGATATGCCGACTTTCTTGCAGGTCGATATGAACTCACGGGCTTTATCACAATAGATCTCCCGAATCGCAGAAGGTGCATACCTCCTCTCCACATCCATGGAGCACGAGTTCACATCTCGAAGATCGCCAAAGACCTGCTGAAATGCTCGGAGCGTATCGGCATTCGTTCTTCCCTTAACGGGAACGCTTTCCAGCCACTCGGTTGCTAGATCGTAGAAGACGACAGCATCCGTCTCCCCATTATTCCCGCGATTGCCGAGCCCATGCAACACCATGGTATCGATGGTAACGTGTTCGCCAAACTTCTCAAACCCTTTATCGCGCGGTGAGTCTTGACGAAAGGATTTAACATTTTCCATCTTTGCACGTTGGCAGGCATCGCAATAGGGGTTCTTTGGGAGATGAGTCATGAGATGACGGATTGACTTTGCCTCATCTTTCAGATCGCGCGCTCTAGGTTCATCAGGCGGCGACTGAGGCTTACCCTTGTCGGGCACCTTCTTGTTATCGTCAGGTGCACTCTTCTGAACGCTCTTGGCGTTGGGCATATCGAGATCAAGTTCTCCGACAGCGTCTAATTCGCTGCCAGGCTCCTCACCAGCTGCAACGACCTTTTCGTGGACGATAATCGGTGCTGGGAGGGCCGGATACACACGAGGGAGATCAGGTCGGCCGGCCACTACCTCTGTCTCACTTGGAGCAAGATAGGGAATATTATTGATCACGTCGACCTTGAGGCGTTTCCCTTTCGGATCAAAGAATATCGGATCGCAAAAGGGCTCCCAAATGAATCGATAACCAAGCTCCTTACATCGTTTCCCAAGGGAAAGGAGACTTGGCGTGCTTTCCAACACATAAGCTTCAATCAGTTCATCGAGACCATCGATGCGCATATGCGCGACACCCTTGGTGTTGGTCTTCCCACTGGCTGTCCGAAGACTGATCTTAGCATTCTGGACGATCAGATCCCTTTCCTCACGGGATAAATCACCGAGACCAATAAGGTCTATACCGCAACCGGAGTCAAGCATGAGTCTCCGTACCCTCTTAATAGACTTGACAGCAGCAGCAAAGACTTCGCAAGCGCTCCGCTGAGAAAGCGTGAGCTCAAGAACACAAGCATCATTTCCTAACGTTTTGGCATCAATGTCATCGAGCAAAACCTGCTCTCGCCACAGCACAGCCTTCATATGGGCTCTTCGCCTCTCGCGAGCACTATTCAGACCACGGATATTTTCCGGCCACGAATAGCTCAAATTCCTCTCGCGATTGACGGGGCCGAAGGCCGGCTCCGGGAAAGAAGACTCTATCATGCGGGTCTCAGTGTTCCCAAATGACACTGTCTTCCGCTTGACTGACGGACATGCCATATCGAATGATGCTGCACAAGCGAATGCAAAGTCTCCAAAGGAGGATGCTGTCATTGCCTGAGGGTTGCGGCACGCCCCTCTCAAAAATCCGAGGGCGTTGGCGCCGGGCTGTCAACCCGCCTTGATGTCGGCGCGGGCTCAGCAGGCGCGGGAGCGGCAACAGAAGTGCTCTCAGCAGGAGCACCAGGCTTCACATGCTTATACGGACACTTATCACCTCTTGTGCAAGATCCACGGGCATAGTAGAAGCATATGCCAGACTCCTTTGATATCGGTGACTGGGATCGAGGCGGGAATCCTTTCGGCGAGGAGCTTCTGCCCTTGAGGTTGTGAGAGAACTTACAACCGCTTCCTCGCGTACATCTGCCGTTCTTGAAATCGTAGCAGATTTCCCGCCCTCGTGGAGATCGTGACGCAGGGCGCGTCGGAGCAGGAGCGGCCCTTCCCGGACTGCGCGGCGAGTATCGCCTCGGCGAACCGCGCCTCGGGGAGGATCGTCTGGGCGACGAGCGCCTCGGCGAGCTCCTTCGGTAGGGACTCCCTCTTCTTGAGTCTCGGTGTCCAGGAGATCTAGATCCCCTCTTGCTTCTTCAGAAGGATCTGCGTGGGCTACCATGTGCAGGTGCAGCATACCGTCTTTGCGCAGAGGTGGATCGAGTAGCGATTTACATCTTCTCCTGGTTGCGACGCCGGCGCCAAGTTGTAATCGCATTGACGCAGACAGTCCGCAAGTACGCGTAGTTCCGGACAGACACGTCCCTGTCCCACAACTGCATATCGAGCTCGAGACAGCGGAACTCACGTACCTGCTCATAGAAGAGTGCGCAGAGAACAGGATCCTCGGGACGATCGACTGAGATACCAGCGAGAACATGATCCCACCGATTGGAGAAGGCTTCTAGCCTCTCCTGCTCGGATCCATGAGTAAACCGATCAATCGTGGTCTTCATCAGATCGACGAGCTTGAAGGTCGAATCGCCAGTGACATGTGGTCGAAGGAAATCATACAACAACCACAAGATCTGCCTGCTGCCGAGTCGCCGATTTATCGTATGCAT